AGACGGTGTGTATAAGTACTATGCATTTAAATTTTACGTAAAAAGTAAAGTAGTTCCTAAGGAACAATCATAAAAACTAAGTTCTACCAATCATGATGTATATTTTGTGTGAATGCATTATCGACCCCAACAGTGAGGTCAATTACTCAAAGCATTTTTAAATACTTATCATATGCACAACATTTCCAAGCAAAAGCAAAGTACCCATGTAAAAACGACAACAAAAGTCGAAGATTAGCTCTAATAGATTCAACGAGTTAAAATTCATTGCCCACACGATATTCACGAGTTCAAGTAGAGGCCAAGCACAATCCCTAAGCATCAATCATAGGTCGAGAACATTCCAAAAATAAAATTGCCAAGCTTGATCGAAAAAAAGCAAATCGAGATTAATATAGAGATGAAAGTTAATTATGTTTCACGAAAAGGTGACTGGATTGAAAGTAGAATTGAATTGGGTCATAATTTAAAAGATAAAGGTCGATAGACAATCGAGCACATATAGAAAATGGAACCGAACATGGAAGGCATCATAAATTGATAATGATACATTCATGTTAATTACATTAGATTACAAAAAGATTCGATTCAAAAAGTTTGTGAGCAGAAAGAACAAACACCAGATAAGCACTGCACTGCCCATTGCGTTCAATCTCTTATTTTCTTGTTTTTGTCAATTTGTGTCTTTTTAAAAGTCAACTTTTCATCCCAACCTTTTTCATCATCATACCTCCACTTTCTCGTTGGAAAAGAAAGAAAAAATAATAATAATAATTATGTCTTACGACAATAATTTCTCCCTTTTTTTCTATAAAAAAAAACATTAAAAAATCAATCTTAAAACACTCAAAACATTTAGTTAAAACTAATTTTAACCTTAGAATATACTTTACTTTAAAATTAAAAAAAAAAAAAAAAGAGGAATTATTCATAATGGGTTTTAATTATTTTCTTGGACTTATTTTATGAAAGAAAGAAAAGAAAAAAAAATTGAATTTGGTAAATTTTGGTGGCCAAATTGTGAAGTGGATTTTTGGTCCTTGTAATGATGAGTAAGGCTTGTGGCTTGCACACGCCTTGAGGTTATGATTTATGCCTTTTGACATTTGGTAGAATCTTGTGTCCAGCACACGCCCTGTGGAGCCTAGCTAACATTTTCATTCGAAGACAAATCCATCACACATGTGTCAAAGTCATCTATTTATAATCAAACAAATTACGGGATATGGAAAGAGTAATAAATAGAAATAATAATAAATTGAAAGGTAATAAGGCAAATATCTATATTTGACTTATAATAAAATATCAAATATGATATATATGGTAAACTATAATTTAGTACTAAATATCCTTAATACTCTTTGCAAGCTGAGCGTTGGTTTTGAACGAACGTGAAGCTTAGATCTGAAAAATTCAAAGAGAGGTCGAGAAACACTTTTCGTGAATATGTCAACAACCTGGTTCATAACACTTTCTTGCCGATCAAAAACTGTAGAGAGATTGTCGCTTAGTGGTGATGCTGCCTTGGCTTCGGCGAGAATATGTAACCCATGAAGAGGGATCGTCGCTGAGCGATGATGCTGCCTTGGCTCCGGTGATAATATTTGTAACCCAAGAAGTAGAAGGGGGAAACCTAGAGCGAGGGACAAAGACAATGTTGAAGTCGGAAGAGTCACCACATTGGGTGAAGGGGCCAATTTCGGCGAGAAGAGCAGCCGAAAGAGTCGCAATATTAGGGGAAGGAGCAAATTTTGGCAAGAAGGGCAGCAGTGACTTGGTTGGCGAAGAGGCCAGTGCGGCACCTAGATTCTAAAGGTAAATCTTTGCAGAAGGTCGATAGGTTTCTCGAGATTCTGTATATTTTCGATGGGAACACTTATGAAAATTCTAAGGTTAGGGTTTTTGTGAAGGATGAAGGGTTGATTGGGAAGAAAATGAGGAGAGACTATGTTGGTTAAAGGAAAATTGGTTGTGTTAGAAAAGGTGAGGTTATATGTACAGAATATGGGGAAGGGTGATTTGGGGGTCAAAAGGGTGGAGTCGAAGAGTAATTAATCGGCTTCGCATGGGCAGCCATGACGACTGCCCCTGCAGTGCCAAAGCCAGCAGTGTGATGGAGAAGAACAGTAGAAGATTTCAAAAGCCATTGAAGAAAGAATCCGGGTTGTTAAACCAAAACGGCTTTGATATCATGAGAATGTTAACTTAATCCACTACCCCTAAATGGTATAAAAGTTATCTATTTATAATTAAACAAATTATAAGAATATGGAAAGATACATGTGGTAAGAAGTAAATATCTAAATATTTACTTTTAATAAATATCAATTATGGTAAATTATAATTTAGTACTAAACTATCTTTTAACGGAGAATCATTAGCCATTAAAGGTTAGAATTTATTTATAAAATTTTAATTAACTCTCCTTAATATTATTTTAGGATAGATGGACAAAACTATAGCTTAAAATAAACATATTTAAAAAATTAGACGGAACTAAGTTTATGAGACTTAATTTTTTTTTTTTTTTTTTGAAGGAATGGTGAGTTTTGATCGTAAGAATATCTCAAATATTTGTAAAAAAAATAAAATAAATGTTGTTCACCGTAAACAACATCCCAAAATTAAATCCTTCCATTTATAAAAATAGTCTGAAATTTTGTTATTATATAGAATTAACTCAACTTTTTCTGTTTTTTTTTTTCACCTGCTCAAGAAAAGACAGCCTAAGAAAAGTGGAATCCATTTGTTCGTGTCCTTCTCTCCCTTCAGAGAGAGACAGAGAGAGACAGAGAGAGATGTATTGTGTGATTCTATATAAATTGAGCCATTTCTTTGCTTTTTCTTCACAACCCATTAGGCCATTTTCCTTGGATTCTCTTCTTAATTAAGCTCAGTGGTGGTTCAACAATGGGGGAAGCTGCTGATTTCACACACTCAAAGAAGCACAGCCTTCTTCTTCACGAGCATGAGGAGAAGCACTTTATGTCCAGTGATGTTGTTCGCGACATCATTATGGGTGTCTCCGATGGCCTCACCGTCCCCTTTGCCCTCGCAGCGGGACTTTCCGGTGCCGATGTTACCTCCAGCATCATCCTCATCGCCGGAATTGCTGAAGTTGCTGCCGGAGCTATCTCCATGGGACTTGGCGGGTACAGTACTATGACACCCTTAATTAAAACTACTTCCTTATTTTTCCTCTTTATTTCATTTTAGTTCTTGTTTTAAAAACTGGTTTGGGAAGTAGATTCAAAGATTATACAGCCTTGATTTTTAAAATAAAAGGGTAATTAAATAAATAAAACCTTTAGTGGGTCCCACAAAATGCACATATTTTTCTCCCTCCATTGAAATTAACTTATAGGTTAATTATCGAAATTAGTTAAATAATAATAGTTTAAATATCAAAAAAGACATATTTTTCAACTTGAATATTTAAATACCAATCAACTTGAATATTTAAAATTATATATACTAAAATAAAACCAAACTCAAAAGTAAAAAAACATCGTTAAATATTTTTTTGAAAGCGTACGAAATCTAATGAAGGTTTATTGAAATGAAATGAAGATATCTGGCAGCTAAGAGTGAAGCGGATCATTACACGAGAGAATTGAAGAGGGAAGAAGAAGAGGTGATTGCAGCTCCAGACATAGGTAATTTGGGGTTATTAGTTTAATTCCTTAGTTAATTAATTAATTAAATGGATTAATAATAGGTAATTGTAATTTAATTATTTCAGAGGCTGCTGAGGTGGCAGATATATTGTCACAGTATGGGGTTGAAGCCCATGAGTATGGGCCTGTTGTTGCTGCTCTTAGAAGGAACCCCCAAGCATGGGTTGATTTCATGATGAAGTAAACTTTATTTATTTATTTTATTTTTGAAATATATCTTTTTTTTTTTTTTTTAAAGGATTATGTAAAATAATTAGGAAATTTTGATGCGTGCAGATTTGAGTTGGGGTTGGAAAAGCCAGACCCAAAGAGGGCAGTAATAAGTGCCTTAACAATAGCTATGTCTTACATAATGGGAGGGTTGGTGCCCTTATCGCCTTACATGCTGTTCCCTTCGCCTGCAGAAGCTGTGATTGCTTCGGTGATCGTTACTATATTAGCATTGCTTGTCTTTGGCTTTGCCAAGGGCTATTTCACCGGCAATCGTCCCATAATGAGTGCTCTACAAACTGCCTTAATCGGAGCCATTGCGTCCGCCGCTGCTTTCCTTATTGCAAAGGCTTTTCGTACCTAATTTAGAATCATTTCTCAATTAAGCTATTACAATATGACTGTCACTGCGTCGTCGTTCTCGAATTGTAGTTGCTTCTAATAATTTCTCTCCACCTCGAAATAATTAGCTGTATAAATGCACTTCCCATGTTTAATTAGGATTGTTTGTAAAAATTTTCCATGCATTTTGTTCTTGCTCTCCCTCTTAGGGCTTGTTTGAATTAAATGCATTTTATTTTATATATTCTTTATATATATATATATATATATATAAACGGTTTAAAATTAAACAATATGAGTTAATAATAAGTTCGAATCTATATTGAACACTATTATTGACCCTTGACTAGCTACCACTAGGAGTTAGCATCATCCACGGTGGAGTGAGGTTGTGGTTACTAATAGCAACGTGTTAGTTCGAGAGATTTGATAAGAATTATCTAAGGGTATTTTGGTCATTTTCATATTTATGAAAGTTTGAGTGGAATTCAAATGAGAAGTCTTGGATGAAATTATAGTTGCAACCATAAAGATGTGTGTCAATCAATGACTAGACAACAATAATTAAGCTAATAAAGTGATTACAAACATGTACGAGAAACTCTATGCTAAAATAAAGTGTACCTAGTTAATAAGTTTTTCAACGATCAAACGTGTTGAGTAGACCAGTCATAATCTCGAGAAGGGTTTAATTAACTTGTTTGACTTAGGGAATGAGATTTAGTATTTTTAGTATTTTTCATATTCTACAAAATTACTAATACTAATTTTAAAATGGAACAAAACTGAAAGTAAATAATATTTTAATAAAAAAAATTAAATAAGCCCGAATTAGAAAACCAATTGTTAGAAAAACAACCAGACCGGACTGAATTGAAATTTATATAAGCCCGAAAAATATATAAAATATTAAAATTTTCTATTAAGAAGAAAATGATAGAAGGAATAAAGAATTGTTTTGAAAAACAAAGGGCATAAACTTTTTTGTAAACGTTTTCCCACTCCCATTTTATTCTTCTTATTTTCTTTTAAAATCCGATTCCAAACACAATGAAAGCAGGTAAGAAGAAGAGCAAAACGTACCAAAATGGCTGACCTAGATCGAACCAGAAACCAACTGCCTCTCATCCAGCAGCACAAAGAGAAGCATTTCACCGCCGGTGAGATCGTCCGCGACATTATCATCGGCGTCTCCGATGGCCTCACCGTCCCCTTCGCTCTCGCCGCCGGTCTATCCGGCGCCAATGCTTCCTCTTCCATCGTTCTCACTGCCGGAATCGCAGAGGTAGCCGCTGGCGCCATCTCCATGGGACTCGGCGGGTACGGATCTCTCCGAACCTTAATAATCTAATTTCTGTTCGTTTTCCTTATTGATTGTTCGATTTCTGGGGAAATAGCGATTCCTAGGGCAGTCGTTTTGTGTTCCTTCAATCCAATCGAGATCTGAAACAGATTCTATGGAGTAATTTGAGGAAATTGATCGGAATTTCGTGTGCTTTGTTGAATTTTGAATTTGATTTGGTAGTGTCTGAACAATTGAGCAGATACCTAGCGGCGAAAAGCGAGGCGGATCAGTACAAGAAGGAGCTGAGGAGGGAAGAAGAGGAAATCGTCTTAGTTCCTGATACTGGTTCGGTTCTTCTTCCATTATTACATTTTTCGCTTTCACATTCGGCTCAGATTAAAAGCCCTTTTTCAAAATAAAAAAATAGAATCTAATGGGCCAATAGAGTTGGGCCCTCATAAACTCATGGCCCATATTTTTAGTTGGGCTTATGTGGTTGGACATTTTTTTAATCTACTTTATAGCTAAAATTATTAAAAAAAAAAACATTAAAATATAAAGTACTTATCTCGCCTATCTTTTTTTATAACCATTTTAGTTTTTATTTTTAGTTTTTACTAGTAAATATTTCAACTTTTAGACAAATTTCAAAAATTAAAAAACAAAATTCTAAGAGTATTACTCTTTCTTTATTTTTCAAAATTAGGTTAAATTTTAAAAAAGTTTCTAAATAAAATAGAAACTAAAACTTAATTTTAAAAAATTAATTAAATTAATAATTATAAGTGAGTTTTAGTGTTAACTGAGAATTTGCGCTCCAACCGCTCAAGCCCAAAAGTCCACCACTTTGGGCTTTTTCTGTTCGGGCTTTCTCTCTAAGTTTGTAAAATTCTTTCATTCTACACCTTATAAAGAATTATCTGTTCCTCTATTCAATCGATTAACCTTTTAACGATGTTTTAATACTTTAATCATTTGAGGTGTTTCTAATTTGGCATAATAAATTGTTAATTATACATAAATGGGAATTGAAAATATAATTTTGTTAGAAGAAATTCAAAGCTCTTAAAAATGAGGATGGAAAATAGGTTTAAATGGGGAGTTTTTGTAATGCAGAAGCAGCCGAAGTGGCAGAGATTTTGAGTCAATATGGAATAGACGAATATGGACCCGTTGTTAATTCTCTCAGAAAAAATCCTCAAGCTTGGCTTGATTTCATGATGAGGTATGTATGATGTTTCAGTGATTAATTTGGAAATATATAGTTATGATTAAATCATAATTATGGTAAATTAAATAAGGGTCAGTTTGGTAATGGTTTAATTTGGAAGTAGGTTTGAGCTGGGATTGGAAAAGCCAGAGCCAAAAAGAGCCATACAGAGTGCCCTAACCATTGCCATCTCCTACATCTTAGGAGGCTTAATCCCTTTAATTCCTTACATGTTTTTCCCAAAAGCTTCCGAGGCTGTTGTTGCATCCGTTGTCTTAACTTTGGTGGCACTCTTGGTTTTTGGCTATGCCAAGGGTTACTTTACCGACAATAAACCCGTCATGAGCGCTGTCCAAACCGCCTTCATCGGAGCCATAGCATCAGCGGCCGCTTTCGGTATGGCCAAGCTTGTCCAACCGCGTCAACCTTAAGGCTTGTTTATATTAGATTATTAAAATACTTTATAAGCATGGTGTATGCGTAAATAATGAAATAAAACTTTGTATGTGTCATCCATTCAAAATAATTCTCATAGATGACAATTTGAAGTCAGACAAGAAATGTGTTAAAATGATTAGAGATTGACTTTTGATATAATAAAAATTCTTGATTTTCAAGTTAGTTTTGAGTATCGAGGTTTACTCATATGGGTCATTTAAAGAGGTTTATTATTATTATTATTATTATTATTATTATTATTATTATTATTATTATTTTATTATTTTGTTGGTTCTCTCGGCTTCCCCTTTAAATATCCAGATTAAACAAACAAACTCAAATGGCGTTGAAGTATTACTCAATTTTTTAATAGAAATATCTAAATTTATTAAATACAAGAGAAAAGGTTTAAGAATTTAATAGATACAAATATAATTTTTTTTAAACGTCTACCATATTGCCCAAATATCTGATACTTATAATAAACAATTTTTTTAATTAGAGTGTAAATTTAAAAATCCAGGTGTAAACTAATTTATCTAGGGACGGAATTAAAATTATATTTTCTACATCAATTATATAGATTTAATTAAAATATCATTCACCGTCATTCTAATAAGTTTGAACACAATTTTTATCAGTAATTATGAATATACCATAGAGATAGAAAATGGATTAAAATTTAAATGGACAGCAAATTCTAATTCGAGATTATTGATTGGCTATATTTATTAACATTTAAATGAATTGTTAGAAGATAAATTGTGCTAAAGATTTCTTAAAATTCTCTTAAACTATAATTTTAAATTAGATTCTAGGGAAGAGATAAAATGAATTTAAATCAAATTAAGAATCAAATGGAATTAGGAAATTAACGTTATAAATAGCTAAGTACACCTCAACCATCTTCAAGTTATTTCAATTTCTTCTACTCTCAGCTTTCCAGCTTCGTTTTTCTTAGCCTTTCATCTTTGTTTGGACTTCAAAATTTGTGCGATTAAGACATGGGAATGACCAAAAGAGTTGAAAGTTTGGGAATGGAGATTAGAATCCCTGATCTAAGCCAAATTTACATACCTAAACGAAGGAGGGGATCTTCGGGTGGGGGAAGGAAAGAAAAAATAAAAACCGAAACTGATCCGTGTGTGTTGGAGGCGGCATCTACTTTGATGGACTTCACCAAGACTGTTCCTAACGTTGAAAGGGAAAAAAGGAGGAACACTCGCAAAAGGAAGACGCCTACAAGCAGTGCGCCTACGAGGAGGAAGATGGTTAAGAAAACCGAGTACCCATCCATTCCGGAGATGTCGGACGAGATGAGAGAGCGAATTGTGGGGATGGGTGGAGGAGAAATTCATTTAGTAATTCAAAAACAAGTTCAACACACGGATATAAGCAAAAATCATGGCCGATTGTCCCTGCCAATAAATAAACTACGTTTTGATTTTACGACAGAGGAGGAGAGAAGATTGCTGGACGAACACGAAAACAAAAATAAGAAGGGGATGGACGTGTTAATTATAGATGATGTCGGTAGAGAAAGGAGTATATGCTTGAAGAGGTGGAAAATAGGAAGCAGTGATACGTATTGCTTGATGACGCAGTGGAATGCGTTCGTGCAAGCCATTGGATTGAAAGCAGGAGAACACATACAACTTTGGAGCTTCCGGAAAGATGAGGCTCAACTTTGCTTGGTTTTGGTTAAATTAGGGAGTTGTTAGAAAAATTTTGATGTAACAAAATATTTGAAAGAGAAGAAGAGCAAATGGGAAAGAATTGAAAACAACTGATGTTTTCTTTTTATTTTATGTTTTATTTTTAATTTAATGCTAATTGTAAGAAAAAGGAATTAAAATACTAGAGGTTGAAGTTGAAATAACTATTGGTTTTTGTCCCATAAATATAAGTACCCATTAATCTTAATTTGTTTTCTAAGTTCTACCGATTTAGCATACAAATTTTACTCTAAATTATAAAAATTATCTTTAAATTTTGGTCTAAAAACTTTATTTTATAATTAATTTAAAAATAATTCAATATTCTAAAAATCTTCATTTATAAAATGTACCTTTTTTTTCTTTTGTTTTAATTCATTGTCCTCAGAATCATGACACAAATTATAAAATCTAAACATATTAAGGTTCCCATTTAACTAGTAAGGAAGAAGTTTGTTAAAATGACAGACTCAAAAAAACATGCTTCATCTCCGCTTCCTCTACTTCAATGTCTCTAATTTCTATGTTGTCCAGACCACCCCTCCTCCCGGATCTCCCCTAAATCGGACATCTTCTCCTCCATCAACTCTTCCATTATCGACGTCGTTTGGTGCGTGCCGTCATTGTGAATTCCAACGTTTATTTGTCATGAGTCACTTGAAGAAAAAAAAAATGATGAAAAATGGGGTGGGTATATAAAAGAAAGATCAAGTAAGTCTCTCATTGGATCCTTATTCCTTTAGATTACCTCACACTTTTCTCTACGCTTTAAGTCTTTTGATAGGCTTCAAACTTTCTCGTGGTTCTCTTGTCTAACTCTTACCCCTTGGAGTCTAGGTAGATTACTCAAATCTTTTTGTATTGGCATAGGTAACTTGTTTTGCCTAGGTAGTGAATGACCGACATTATTGGTTGAGTCACAACCTAATCATATATTATACGACAATTTAGTTTCTCTCTCTAAACATTATTGATAAGGTTAACCGTAAACCCTTCCACATGTCAACTATTAAGTTTACATGCGTGGTCCCTCACTCTTCCTCGAGATGGGTTTACATCCTCACTCTTTCTCACTATTAAGTTTACCTATGTTTCATATATATATTGTAGTAACGGTTACTTTCGGTAAGGATAAGTTGAAGAGAGATAATGGTGGGAAAAGGACGAAAGGTTAGTGGAGAAAAATGAGTAAAAATTGTTTTTTTGTTTCTTATTATTACTATTATTATATATAATTATTTTTATTTGTTTATTTATTTCATTATTTATTTATTGGACTATTACATTATATACCTCTAAAAGAAATTTTCGTCCCCAAAAGTGTTTTAATCTTAGAATAATTTGGGTATTTATTCGAAGGGTTATTTGTTAAGTCTTGAAGTACAACTAAAGAAAAATTCTTAACAAGTATACCTTAATCCATATGAGTTATAAACATTTATTTGCATGCATAGAACTTTCTCAAGCCTATTACTTGGTATTCATAAAATTTTTGATTTTTTACCACGTGTTTTGGAGGATAGTTATGTATTTTAAATCTTAATTCATACTCCAAAATTTTTATAATTTCTTAAAATCTTTCATATTTATCCTTAATATCATAAAGAAGTCTCATATAATTTTCCTATAGTATTTTGAGTCTTCTAGGGTCTTGAAAACGTCATAGAATTTTTATAAGGGTCTTTTGGTCATTTACCCCACCAAATCTTGGTTTAATTCTTCAACATATTCCAATGGCCTTATAACGTTGTGTAATCACCATGACATAAGGCTACTCATCAAATTTCATGTCATGTAGATGTCACTTTGGTCATAAACTAGTGGTACATAATTATAGGGGCATTTTAGTCATTTTACACATATACTTGGTTTAGCCCGTTATCATAACCTAATGGTCACCAAATTTTGTACATAACATTATCATGTCATATTGAGCCTTCTTCTAAAATTTCATGGGTAATATAATTCATCTAAGGTTTGTAGCTAAGACGCTTCATTGAAATAAATGTTCATGTGTACAATAACGTTGGCAAACTTGCTCAAACTAAATAGTTCCTCACCTATTTTTTGTCTTTTTTACTATGATTCCATCTACGGGATCCGAATTCTCTAAACTTAGCTAAAGGTTCACCAATTGACCTTTTTGTCCATACATCCTCACAATCTCATTTTAAAATACCAATCTCCTCCTACACTAAAATGGTTGATAAAACTCCAAAATGACATTTTCTTTTGAACCAATTTTTTTTTTTTTTTCTCCCATCATTAAAGAAAGACAAAAAAATTTTAGGAGAAAAACATTCTCAGAATTTCTCTTAAGATTTGAACCCATAGATGATGATAGAACTAGAATAGATATTTTCTGTTACCTACTCACACGCGCACATATCTTTGCTTCTCGATTAATCTCTGATTCTAATCTTCCTCCCCAATAAGATATTACAGTGCTGGTATAGACCGAAATTTCGTTATAGTCTAATTTTGACCGGTAATAGATATTGGGGTTTTGCAATATTTGACTTATCACAATTCTGCATAGTCTATTTACTATAGAAGTTCCGAATTCATTAGAGGAATATTTTCAATTAAAATTGTTCGTTCTCTATATTTTTAATAATGAAAAAGAATAAAAAAAGAATTTTTTTCCTTTCTTCATTATTGTCTGTATTTGTATTGTTTGTAAGTATCCACTTGATTTGGTTCACTATTAATTTCTCATCTTTGTAGATGAATTAAATATACAAATTTGTCTATTTTCCCCTACAAAATCAAGAAATTTGTAATACTTCTCTTTTGGCTACCTACCCCAATTCTAGTAAATTTTTGAAGTCAAAATCATGACATGAAACTCGTTAAAAACTCCACCTTAACCCAATTTAAATTGAATGCACTAATATATCATATGGATCTACAAATGACTTACCATATTTGACTTGTGGTCAAGTTAGAGTTTGAGAATTTGGTAACTTTCATTGGAGACATTGTCAAATAGGCTTTTCTCTTAATATTCCTTATCTAGTATAGCCCAAAACTAATGTTCCTGTAACCATAACTGAAAGGCATCACAACCCTTTCAACCCCTTTGTGATATCAAGAATGGGCTTAAAAAAATTCTCTTCTAAAAATTGGTATTATATAAGCATGGTAGATATCCTCAAATGCTATAAAATTTGGGATGAAAATCAAACTTAAAATAACAGTCTTGAAACTTTAACTACGGTAATACGTTTTAACTAGGTTGACATTGTTAGAAAAAATTGATCGGTAATTTTATACAACAATTTGTTTATGTTGAGCTTTCTGAGTACATTCGTGTACTCTAAGGAGGATTATCACAAAACTTGTAGTTGAGTTAGAGACAATGTCCCACTCTAACTCTGGTGTATCCCCCACCCAAGTTCATCTTAAATCATGGTTTCTTAAATTTAAGGTATCTTCACAATCTCATAT